AGAGGATCAGATGCAGACGCAAATGAGAAGATTGGCAAAGCAAGGGCTCCATTCCTACAATTGAAGAACATGTAGAACTCAAAACAACTTTCAACCAATTTCAAAGTGGGAACCTTCAATACGGTCGTCAAGACAGTCCAGTTGTACGGAGCTGAAACTTCGAGAACTATTACAACCATCATCAAAATGGTACAAGTATTTATGAATAGTTTCTACTTAAGATACTCAATGTCTGTCGGCTGGATACCATCAACAGTAACCTACTGTAGGAGAGGACAAACCCTCTCCCAGCTCAAGTGGAAATCAGGAAAAGATTTTGGAAGTGTATAAAACATACATTACGGAAATCACCAAATTGCATTACGAGGCAAGTGCTAACTTGGAATCCTGATGGGAAATGGAAAAGAGAAAGGTCGAAGAACACACCATATCGAGAAACGGAAGCAGACATGAAAAGGATGAACAGGAACTGGAAAAGATTGTCCAGGACAGAGTTGGATGGATTTTTCTGGTGGGCGGCCTATGCTCCTGAAAAATTGCCAACAGGCTCAAGTAAGTAAGTAATCAATAATGAATTTATCGGTATTTAAGTAGGATGTAGTAAACTGAATATCATGCATTTTTTGTTCTTTTCTGAGTCTACCAATGTGTTTATTAGTCTAAGTATTTATTGACTCATTGTGCACCATGTCGATTGTTTAAAAATTCATTGTTTAGATGAGGTATTCAGTGGCAATCATAATAAAGTGAATTTCGTAATAAAATTTTATAAATAATTAGGCTTTTTAGTATTAACGATAAAACCCAATAGGCCAGTTGGTCATGAAATTATCAGTTTAAGGTTCTGGAGTGTGTTGAGTTTCGTTAAATTGATGAATCAGTCAGTGTTGGACCACCACTGGAAAACTACAAACACTGGACGGTCGCTTCGTTCCAGCATTTGACACCTCAGGAGTGCGCATCCATCACTCTGTACTCAAAAACCGAACCAAGGATCTTCAATCTTGAGCGCGGACTCTTAACCTCTAGACCACTGGGCCGGTACTGATTGGTGTTAGTGTGTAATTATGAAATATTAATGTAGATATTAGTAAAAAGTCAACTGAACTTTGTTTGGATCAATAATTTAAGGATACTCTTTTAATTTCCAAATTTTGATCAATCTTATTACTGAATAAAAACATCAAGACTTTTCTATGTATAATTGCTTTTTGATCATCGTGCTATGCTATGCTACCCTTTAAGCCCTAGTACAAACCTTTTATTTTGTACCGCTGTCGTATCTCTCAAATTATCCATATTGTAATTCACATTGTCAAGGTTTCAACTGTTTATTTCAAATTAATTAACCATGGACAAAATAGACAGTGATCGTAAAATGCCGGATCAGTGGTCTAGAGGTTAAGCGTTTGCGTGAGACTACAGGTCCTGGGTTCGAGTCCCGGGTGCGGAATTTTCCTAATTTCGCAGCCTGATGTAGGATATCTTTCAGTAAAGTAGACTTTTCAAATGAATACATTTTTTTTGTAGTACAAGGGATAAAACGGATCTAATATTCTTTATCTACAAACAGTTTTTACAATGGTAATGTTACCATTCATGTCAATCGTAATTTTACATGAGATTTGTCTTTGTATATACATATGTAGTTAAGTAGGTATTAGTAACACTGAATCCTTAATTTGTACATGTATTTGAGATATGATTGTCAACTCGTATGTAATTGTTCGGAACACCCTCCTTTTCTCTCTCTCTCTCTCTCTCTCTCTTTCTGTGCATATATTAGACACGTATATCTGATTCACCATTGCCATACCTTTTATTGATAATGATTTACAATTAATTACTACAAATGCGCCACTCATATTCTGTAATAAATACATAGATATGTAACTATTTAAAATAATTTTATGTAGTCCGTTCTTGACTTGTGTTTAACTCGGACTATTAAGTTGTGACAGTAAATAACAAAGGTATCTTTATCCTTTCACCTGATTTCCTGTTGTTCAAACAGTGAGCTTAGGAACATGTGAAGTTAATGTCTTACATCGGTTGCTTGACAAATACAGTAATGAAGTTTTTGTTTACAAAGTTAACATCTTAAGCAAAGAAAAAATATCAAGCTATGAATACTTTTTGCCGGAGTCGGCCTAATCTTTCTAGATATGTATCACTAGTTGTCTATTTTCAGAAATTTACTAAAGATATCCGTTATCTTATTTTATGAGTTTGGTTATGAAAACTTAGTCAAATCCTAGTAACAATAATAATAATAAAAATAATAACATAGTGAATATCACAATTCCACGACCTAAAAATGTGATAATTTCCGAGGTCTATTGTTATAATAAACAATACATTATGTGTTATAACTTGTGACCGCCGATTAATGTGCAGTAACTTATCGATCGGATCAATGACGCGTAAAACACGTGTGAGCAGCCTAGAGTTCTGATTGGTCATGCTTTCCACCTAGCCCAGCCAGATAAGTTCAAAACACCAGTCTCAGCCTCTGCGATAGGAATCATTATATTTCAAACATACTGAGTTTATATATCAATCAAACAAACCACAACGTACCAATAAAATATGAACAACATTTGTACAAGAATTAGCCAGATATGACTGTGAATGAGGGAGGCAGTGACTAATAGACAGGGAATAATTCAAGAATGGAAAATCGTATAATAACAGTTCATAGGTTAAGATAAAGCTTATGATAAGAGAGACATGAATATGAATAGTTTAGTTAATTGACAATTATACGATAAAAATATACGCACAGTATTTGTCCATCAATAGATCCAAAAAGTTACCATTCATTATTCTTGTCGGAGCATTACATTAAGGTATACATGAAAACATTGTGATTGATTTCACTGATGTTTTCTAATAAAAATCTTTCATTTTATTTAAGTCAAGTTCTATATTTTAACAATAGGCGTAATTTCACCAGATATTATTATCAGATCATACAACAAGGTTTGGGGAGACTTTCACGCATTGAGGATATGAGTTAAAATTAATTTCCACATTCTAATGCTGATGAAATCAATAAGTTTAAATCCTATGCAAAAAAATTAACACAAAACAGTAAATGTCATGGTTTAATTATTGTAATGATAATATTGAATAATACCAATAGTGAATAATACCAATATTAAGTATAGTAAGAAAGATCAATGTACAGTTGACCAAAATTATGTACCATTGAAAAGATTCAGTACAGTTTTCCATGAAGAGATATAGAAGTAAAGTTTATAATGTGTATTGCTAAAAGCAGAAGCGAATGAATTTATTGTAGACCAAGCTAAATAACTTATTGAAATGTATCTATTTTATACAGATAAGTCTTATATGTTCTAACTGATTGCCTAATCTAACTTCATTTTGATAAATTACTTGGGTTTTTTATGCATCTGGAAAGGAATGAACAGAATTTCACCAACGTATAATATATGTCATTATACTCCATCGATTTTTAGTACATTTGTAGTGGCTTAGCTTCGTGAATCAATCACCATGATATTCATTATTATATACATCACAATGGTGTTTGAAATCAGAAAGCAATAAGAAGTGTCAATGACAGTTTATTAGTGGATAGCACAGATCGCAAAGCTACAAGCACATCGAGACAGTTTGAAGCCGATAGACGAATATATGTGTGTGCGAGCAAATACAGAGACAAATTTATAGTCAAATTAAATCAAGGCGCAGCAAGGCAAGGTGAAGATTATTAATAGGATTCGAGCACATATATACATGGGAAAGAGAATGATTCATCAAGTAATATGTAAGCTATTAACGTTTAAACTAGAGATATGCGCATAGGCTGCCATGTGATCAAGCGTACCCGTTTATACAGACACGGTAGTGATAATAATAATATAAAGAAATGGATGAATCGTTACTGTTAGAATGACATTGTTTGTTAAATAAGTTAAGTAATAGGTCGTGACAAAAATTAACCGCAATCAAAATTAATCATAGGTGTGCTGCTATGTAGTGATTTTAACAGTTGAACTCACGAGCCAGTATATTCTGGACCACCATTGAAAATCCGGAAGCACCTGACAGCTGTTTCATCCTCCTCAGCAGTGCACATCTGAAATCTCTCTAGTAAGACTCGAACCCAGGACTCTTGATCTTGAGCCCGAACACTTAACCTCTAGACCATTGAGGCCAGGATCCAACAGTGTTAATGTCTTACTTCAGTCGATCCAACGTTATTGGCCCTGTATCTGACTTCATTTCGATTGTATGAATGATTGTTATTGAAATATACATATTGTCAATCCTCGGATGAAATTATCGACTTGAATCGCGTTATTGAATAACGGAGTTAAATAAGTCAAATACGAGCATGGAATTTTGAATACATATATTTTGTACGCTCGTTGATCTAGACTGGCAATCAAAGAGACAAAGAAAAGGAAGAGAGGAAAAGAGAGAGAAGCGCAATGAAGCGCAATGGAGGTGTGTGAGCCAACTCAATTTAACCAAGCGTTAATTGATATTTATAGTCAGACCAAATATAAACTACAGACATGTGATGTGTAGGTTATGTAATGCACATATATACGCTCATATAAGAACAGCCAAGGTTGATAAGCGAATAGTTGACAATCTCAAAATGTAGCTTGAGAAGAATGATTATGTTGGTTTGTCCAGAAGCTAGAATAAGTTATGTGTGCTTAACATAGAGACCGAAACTACACAACCTATCATCGATTGTCCGAGAGATACCTATCTCTACTCGATACGGATTGAACTTCACTAGTCATGGCTTCTCACTAGAACTCCAGTACTTCCGGGTTTTGTATTGTGGTTTAGCCTACATCGACTCATGAGTTCAATTATTAGAGTTATCAACAAGTTGTATACCTTTATTTAATTAGAATACAATTTAATGTAAATAACAATTTTCGTTCATAGGTATAGTCAGTAATATCCTCTTTTTTTTTTAAAAAAGAAACGTTTTTTCCCCACCTTTTTAGAATGCCAGTAGAATATCGTCAGAATAAAAATTATACTTCAACTCATCTTAGTTATTATGAATTACCTCATTCAATAGGACGTCATCATATGTCACAAAATTATAATCAACAAAATGCATCAGATCGTCTTTATCAAATAGCTATACAAGCTGCAGTGGCCAAAGCAGAATCATCTAAATCCACAAATGATGAAATTCGTAAATTTTATCATGATGATAATAAATATAAATTAAATAAAACAAAACTAAACAATAATGTACATAATCATACTATTAATAATACAATTACTACAATCAGCACTACAACTACAATAATAACAACTACTAATACTGCTATTACTACCACTACTACTCCTTCGACAAATTTATCATCAAAAGTTAAAACAGCACATTTAACTCCTCAACAATGGCAGTTATTAAATGATTATCATGAACATGATTTATTTGTACGTACAAGAAGTTGGAGTTTTTGTATGGCAGTTTTAGGTGTTGGTGTAACATTGTTTGGTATTGGTAGTCCAGCATGGAAATGGATTGGAGATTGTAAGTTTTCACCATGATTATGACTGATTTTTTGTTTTTTATCAATTTGCGTAGTTATTTGTATTAACTCTAAGTGTAAGGTCGATAAAGTTGTTAAGTTTCATTCAAATAACAAGCCGACCACATTTAGACTGTCACTGATGACCTGAATGCACTACATGCCCGTTCCTTCTTTATATGGAACCCTTCGGCAGTATGTATCCACAATCCCACACGCAGCACTTGAACCTAAGAATTTTGTTCTAGAGCGCGAACAGTTAACCTCTAGACCACTGAGTCGGAACCAAACGATGCTAATGTCTAACTTTAATCAATCCACAAAATTACGCCATATTCTTCCATTATCTTCGCCTTACATCCGACTCGGTTGAACTTCACTGGTCATGGCTTCTAACTAGAACTGGGTAAATTTCTTTTCGATGCATGCCATGAGTGAGTACATGATAATTTTCTGTGTGGGGTTGTGGATATTGTTGGTTTTCGTTAAAATCATTAATTTAACTTTGTCGACTAACAAGTTATGTGCTTATATGTTTGGGCCTCTTTTACTTACGTTTCGTGTAATCTTATGAGCAATTAAGCGAATAAATCATCTCTAAAACACTTACGATTGTTACTCTTTTTAAGTACATCAATTAATAAGATCACTTTATTCGATCTTTAGTTCTTATTGAATTCAATAGCTTAATTCCCATTATAACTTCCAATATGAGAAAGTTGTCATGTTTGTATTTTCTACTTTAGGTTAAGTACTTGACTTAAACCGATATAAAACCCTGGAAGAACTTAACAGTTTTGTCAAAATGATCGATCAAACTATTTTTAATTGTGCAAATATCTCAAATAACCTTCCTTTTTTAAATGGATTTATTTGATGTATTTATATGTTAACATTAAGTGTTTACATATTATTGAAATGCTAACTATTGGAAACTTAAACCAGCATATTGCTTGTTTTTTATACATTCTTCTTTCTATCCTTTGAAAAAGCAATATATGATTAAACTAGAATTCATACTTTTAATTCATCATAGCTAAGATAAATACACTTGGTATTGTTTTCTTGTATTTTCCCATTATTATTGAGGGCTGCAAATGATCAGTCTCTTGTTGGCATATGTGCATCCTGGCAGGAGTTACTTGATATTGCATTAAGTCGCAAATTTTATCAGGAAAGATGGATAGTAGCCAGCAGTGGAATAAAGGACGCGCGTTTCGTCCTATTCGGGACTCGTTCTAACAGTTTTAATGATTGAAAATGATTGTATTTTAAGCGGCAATTCGTTATAATATTACATAATGGTAGCTGAGACTTCAATATAATAATATTTTTAGTATTGCAATATAGATTTGATCATTATTATAATTATGAAAATTTGTTAAATGCTAGTTATCATCACTCCCCAAGAAATGCCTACAGTTGTGAAGTGACTAATACTCTTATCATCATTAAAACTACCACAAACCTTTGTCATGGTTACATAAAACAGAATATGATCAGATGAAACTTTGAATAATTTTTTTTAGAAACTTAATATTTTCTAAGTAAAAAGTGATAACTCAGTCATATCCATTAAAAATTTTTAAAGTGTATTTAAGAGGGTAATTAGACTATGAAATGCATAACTGTTAAGAAATATTGTATGATTTTTATTACATGTTTGTTTAATCATTTAAAGCTCGGAATCCTTATGAACTTGGTTTATGGACCTTGTGTCTACCGAACAATTCCACTTGTCTTTCAATAATTTACCACTTACAGAATAACTGGAGTAAGTTCACTAATAAAATAAATGATTATATAATTATACTTCGGATTTCCTCTCTACCATTTGTTTCTCTGAAACACAAGTATGATATAGTTGACAGATTGAAGTATATGCTTGTAATGAAAACAAGATCATTTACTCATGGAAGTAGAATTGTTTATTTCAATGAAGGTTAACAATTTATTCATTGTATAAGTCGGTAATTCATAACTAGACAAATGATTTTATTTGCTCTTAACTAGCATCATGTTAATAATTGTATAGTGGTAAATATTTCTTGCTACATTCATTTGATTCATTTATTTTAACACATAGATATTGGTACAAGGGGGCACCAAATACATATGCGCCACACAAATCTCATTCGATATGTGTGAGGGTTGTGATACTGCTCGGGTGCCCAAACCGAAGTAGGTGGTTTTCTTAGACGGCCACTCCCCGAGCCTTCGACCTGAAGGTCTGATCCACAAGGCAGTGGAGCATCGTGAGGAGATGCAGTCCCGTGGTAGCCGATGACCAACAATTGGTTCATACGTCATTTGTTCCCACAGGATACTGGAGCCCATGTACACCATTGGTTTGGAATCCGGTTAAAGCGCCGGACATTCGCTTTTCGTCCTCTCATTTTCGTAAACAACACCTCGGCCATGAGAAGGCAGTGAGTAGGACTTCCCTGGCAGAGGCTATATACGCGTGGCCATGTGAGAGCATTTCAAGAGGGAGAGCGGACTCTCCCCACTCTCGGCTGTACCAGGGCATTTGGGGGCTGCTACATTCAAATATATATCAAATCGACTCAAGTAACTAGTTATTGTAAAAATCAATTAATCTAGGTGTAAAGTTGTAAGATGTGAAGTGTTTTGGAAAAAAATTGTCAATAAAACCTGATGATTATTGACAAGCTTATGAATTAAATATTATAAAAAGGCTAAAACTTTCTCAGAACAAAAATTCGTCTTAAGTCCATTTAATAATACATATAATAATATATAAATGTAAAACATAATAAACTAGGACTATGACTTACTGTTGTAACTGGAAAGAACTGAAAATGATTGTCGAGGATAGGGTTGGATGGACAGTACATGTGTGCGGCCTATGCTCCTCCAGAAGAGGTAACAGACGTAAGTAGGGAACGTTTTGTTTCGACATATAAATCAAAAGTTATTAAATATCCAAAGAATTTACCAATTTGGTTATCTATCAGCTATTTGTCAATTATAATACCAACACAACTGCAATAATCACTGCGTTATTACTAACGTTGAGCTGGCTAAATGATGAAGAATGCATTCACCGAACAATTTACATTTACCTGATACAATTACAAACTGACCGTTATAATATAATTCAATAGAACTGAGTCTTTAGATTACAAGTTAAATCCTTTTATACGCTTCATATGGAGATGTCAGTTCAATAGTTTGATCATGGTGATAAGAAATCTAGTTGTCTGATGAGACAAAATATCATTCAACTTATGGAAATCAAATTAACGTACTGCACAGCAGTCATTATTCTTTTGTTTTATTCTGGATCATGTAATTTATCATAAGACTTGTATAAGCGAATTTTAATCGATAACCACTTAATATCTAAATATGATTCAAGAATCCAATAACATTAGTCTTTCCAGTGTACATCACTCAGTCAACCATTGAATTTGTGTGTTAATGAAACCTTCTGCACAGATATCGAAACATTTTATTCATTATCACCATGGTATATATATATATATATATACATACCAAACGTTCTTAAGAAAACTAATCAACAGACACTCAATTATTAAGGGACTACTAAATTTTTAATGTAAAATAATTATTAAATGAATTATTTGCAATTAACAACGAGTTCGCATCACATCACTGAACTGAAGCTTTTTGAACAATATTCGATTTAATAGTTGAATTCAATTGAAGTTAGACCACCATGAAAAACCTGGAAGCACTGGACGGCCGTTTCGTCCTATTGTGGGAATCAGCACTGCGCATCCACGACCTCGCCCCCTGCGGGATCCGAACCCAGGACCTACTAGTTTTGTTGTTTTAAACTGTAATCAATTATTATTACCCTTAAACAAGTTTTCTCGATTATTATTCAGTTGTTATTATTGTGCCTTTATGTTTCGTGTCTTTCTTCATATCTGTCAAGTGGACAATTATCTCTTATAATTTAGAGCGGCAAATTATTCCCAGCGTTATATTCTTTTTTTACCCCATGATTACTGCATAACCTCATCTCATAATACGAGTCTCGAATCAACTTACTCTTCTATGGGCATATATTTTCTATATAACTGTGAATATGAATGTGATGATTTCCTTGAAGAGGATATATTCTTTGCTGAATTCGATTTTTATTTATTTTTGATGCCTCTTTACAGAACTTCATATATCAATTATATGTCTACTGGGTTGTGCCTGCTTATTTGGAATATTGGGTTTGGGTTTAGCTATTACAGGTGTGTGCAAAAGTGCCTTGATTCTTAGACTTTATTATTATCATTCAGCTGGTGAATGCTTTTTGGTTTCAAGTAAGTTTTTCAATTATTCTATTTTCATGTTTATGAATGAATTAAGTAATCGATCAACAATATGATTGCTCATATAGATTCTGATAGTAGAGAGGGAATTATCGATCATTATTAAAAAAAGATAAAATATCCACTAACTTTTAATAGTTTCACATTTGATTCCAATCAAATAAGAACACAAATTATTATTGAAGAATTAGTCCCTTTGGTAAACTTCGATGGTTAAATAAGAAGGTAAAGATTATCAGAACTATGTGATATATTAGCGTAGTACATTTGGAACAATTTCATCATACATATACTCGTTAAGAACGTTTGTATATAAAAATAAAAGGTCAACTAGACAAATGGAAGCCAAGAGAAGATAAAGATAACAGAGAAAATAATGTCCATCATTCTCCATTGTCAAACATATAGTTCAAAGAGATCATAAAATTGATATTGACTCGGCTTTTGTGATGTGATTCAAAAGTATTAAAGGCCGCATACTAAAGTTAATTAAAGCCTTAGTCATATGAAAATTCCTACCCTCATTATGTATTTAAAAGCAGTTTATTTTCACTTTAAACCTACCCTGGTAATGTTATCCAGCGTGATGAGTTTTCATATTATTTTCATTACCATCTTTGTTTTCCCATACCCTCCATTTATCTAGCTTATCTTTTATTCTTTCATAGATAAATATTCTTGACAAGTATCTGTGTGATCAGATTGTTCTAAATGTATTACGCTATTATATATCACGTAGTTGTAATCATCTTCGTTCTATTACAATATCCAAGTTGGAGAATTCGTTTACCATAAATGACTTAATGAGTATATTGTTAGCTGAACAGCTATACATTAATTATTTCATTGTTAATTGTATCTGAGCATGTTTTTCATAGGCATACTTGAATAGGTATTTGTTACTTTCATAGAGTGTGTACGTAAAAAAATAATTAGATAAATGCCTGAGCATTTCCACTGTGTAATAAATGCAATTTCTCTTCTGTTTGATTAGTCGAAACAATATGATTAAATGAACTGTGAATTCCAATATTAACTGCCCCTGACAAGCAAACTCATTCAAATTCATTTTTTGTAAAGCTATAATTTTTGGGGAAGTTAGTCACTTTTCAATGGGGATATTGATCATTAGTCACTTATTGTAGAGCATCATTTGGGTTTCCTAGACGTTTCCTAACCATGATGTATGTATCTAACAAGCATTATTTATAATCTTTATATCAATTTATAATAGGCTGACAAAGCACTTAGCTCAATCTGACTGCTAAATTGGATGATTTAGGTTTAAAAACATAGTATGCTTATGCCCAAACTGATTTAAATAAATGATCTTCGAAATAGCTACGTAGAAGAGTTATCTGCTCTCATAATATATGTTAACTTATGAACATTCACGTATCAAGAAATTCTTACTTTGAGAATATTGAAAATATTGAACAAATAGATGAACTTTTAACAGTTTAAAATACAGTCAGTCAGCTACAACGGAGGACCAAGCACATATATGCATCGGTCTTAATTGCCACCCTTCATTAGCACAACAAGATGGACACCTGATTCATAGAGGTATTTACTTTACTGGTAGTAATATATAAAAGAAAGATTGTTTATAATGACATAGTACAGTAAGAAAGAATTAGTTCGTAGAAAGGAAGATATAATGTAATTTTAATCTCACAGTTTAAGGGAAGACAAAGTGTGTATACACCTACGCCATTGTGAACGATTCTAAGTCATGTCACACAGAGTCTCCAACCATTGTTTAAAATAAAAAAAAATACAAACCCAAGGTCTTCTCTAAATTGATATTTAAATAGCATATAGATGATTAAGGAATTCATTCTGAACATTTGTTTGTTTGAAGAGAACAAATCAGTTTAAAAATAAAATGGTTGCAATCACATAAATACTTATATCATTAATATCAGAAAGGATTTTGTGGATATCATAGTAATTTCAAGAGTTGAGATCATGAATCAATTGAATCTAAACCATCATGGAAAACTTGGAAGCACTTATATAATTGTCTACTTTGTTCTTGAAGAAATCACTTGTCTACATTGATCATTTCTACATATTTATTAATGAACTGAATACATGACATGAAATGACATGAATTCAGTTTAATCTTAATTAATAAATGCAAACTTCTTGTCATACGGAAATTCGGTAAATATTTTGCATCAAAATTATTTTGTTTAGATGATCCATTCTCTTGTACAAATATATTACGATAAAACAATGAGAAGACGGAGTTGATCTAGTACGGATTGCATCGGAAAAGGTAAAACTGGAGTTTTACAAAACTTGCATTACATTTTTCAGATCAACTCCGTCTTCTCATTGTTTTATCGAAATTTATAAAAGGGACTAATTGCTTTAAATACAAATATATTAAATGTTAAGTTTACTGTTAACAATGACAAATTAGTTGTCATTTATCAGAAAAAAAATAATGTTGAAATACTAATCCAATATCAAATGACATGTTACTAAACTATACTAAGCAAACAATTGAAGCTACATATTTTGACAATATAGATTTTAGAATAAAAGAAATTGATAGAAAAACAAATTAATTCATTTAAATCGGATATTTATATTTCGTATATGATTGATTAATGGATGATAAAACTAACAATTACCACTATTCATTTTGTGATTATTAATTCCACTTAAAATCTCCGCCTAGAGTCCCTCTAGAGCTACTGTCGGTCCCAAGCCCGGATAAAGGAGTTCGGTTGGGTATGGAGTTAACGACCTCATCCTATAGAAAACTAACTTGCTAAAAAAACGCTGATCAGAAAAAATAATTCAAACCACTTAAACTCTGCCCTGGTAGTTAGAAGGTCTTCATTTAGAAGAGTAATGATGCCTCATGTTAAAAGCCACGTACGTTCAGAATTCACGAGGCTGATGCGTCTTCTGACAACCAGAGCAACCATAGAATACTCGTACAATGGAGGAGGCGGGGAGAGTCTTCCAGATTGCTTAAAATGATGTAATAGTTAATTACAGTTGAATTACATAAGATATCAATAATTCTGTATAGTTATTATCAATATAGAGCAAAATCTAGTTGCTAACCAGATTAGAATAGATGTTGTATATCCATTTGAAGATAATTTCCCAACAATTTTTATTCTTAGTTCATTTTTGTATTGGTTGTTTAAATTTTCCCATTGATCTTCAGGACTATAATTTATCCGTCTCTTATTGGTATATGTACATCTAGTACGGATTGCCTCGATATTGCCCGAATTCACAAATATTACAAAGATGAATGGTGACTAGCAGTGAAATTCAGGTCGACTGTTTCGTCCTATGTGGAACTCGTCATGTGGATGAATCTGCATCCCAGACTAGATGTTCACTCCGTAACTTGAACCCAGTACCGTTCGCTTCAAACGTCATCACTATATCCACTTAGCTATTGAGTCTTTATTGTTTGTTAAAATCACATTTATAGATTTTTGAAGTTTCTAGGTAGGATGTTAGCACACCATTACTACCACGTCATCCGGAAACCTAAGAAATATTTAGTCATATTTTATTCATTACTTAATTAGTATTCTTGAAAACCCATTATATTTTTAACCCCTTAATCTTAGGTATTGCCACAATAACTGCTTTAATACTCTATCCAATATCAGCTGAAACATGTATACAAAATTTATTAAACCTTAATATATTCAAAATCAAATCAACTGATCACACTTCCACGATCAGCATATCTAGTAACAATAACAACAAAAATCCTGCTTCTGAAGAAGATGTATCATTGACCAATATTGAGACACAATTTGGATATACATATTTTTTGACATGGATTGCAGCGCTATTTTTTGTCAACTCATTCATATGCATGAATTTAGATTTATTGATACAATCATTCGTTCGACCAATACCACTAATCAGCAATACGATAAATAATTTAATGCCATGCTGTGGTTTGTCTACCTCGTTATCAGAATCACCAGTATCGTCTAAATCGTCACACTCATCTTGTCATTTTAATGAATCTATTTATAAAAAGCAAAGACATGAATGTGCTGAACAGAACATAGAACATATGGTATTATCAAACAGTAATCAAAATACTGAAACTAATCCTAGTGGCAATCTACATTCTAAGCGCAAACTGATAAAATATCAAAGAGAATTCGTATCATTCGACGATAGTATTACAGAGAATAGTCAACATCAACCTTGTCAAGTACCAAACATTCTTTTGAGTGATTATGATAAGGAATGCGAATTAATAAATTCACGAAATAAAGAATTGTACAAGGAAAATTCTATTAATATTACTGATGAGATTGTAGTGATTCCTGATGAGATTTTACAAGATTCAGGTCAAGATGGTGAATGGATCTAAATACAAGATAAAATATACGGATCCAAGTGCCTTGAACTGAATAAAATAGAATCCACGCTGTTCACCTGTAATTTATATCACAGAATGCTTTTATCTATTATTCTGACGTATTGATTTGTCATCTCTTGTTCAGTGATTGAAGTTTTCCCAATAGTACCTTATAAATAAAATACACTTATCATTTAGATGAAATTAGAATTAGTAATGCATCCTGTGTTTGAATCAGGTAATAATTTACATTACCTGCATGTGTGAGCATTATTTTAGATGACCAAATATCAAGGGAATATATATATATATATATAAACTTATTGATCAAGATTATTGGTAACCATGTTGAATATTTTAACATTTCCTCCTCTGGAAAAAGATATACACTAATATATACACATATTCAAACACATTATTTTGTATATGAAAATGCTATTTTTTAATATATGAATTATATCACTTCCGACTGTGATTTTCAATACATTTAGAAGATTATGAACTTCATATACGAATAACTGCATTAGGTAGTCGGCTGTAAATCCTGTTTCACATTCATCAGCATGTTATCCGATAAATTCCAACCGAAGCCTGACAGATTCATAACCTGAGAATTTACCATTGAGCTATACGAGTGGCAAGTGATCTGCACGACTGAGGTATTTATACACTATTGACCACCTAGTAGAGACGACTATCATATATATTTAGTCATTTAGCGCTGATAGATCTAGTGGTTGAATGGTACACGATCAAGTACACTGAAAAACACTAGTCCTCCAAGGATCACAGGTACACTTTACTGAAAAATGTCAAACAAGACAAAATATAGGTTTAGGGTCCCTTGGAGACTACTTCCAAGCACTTAGCATCTCAGCATAGTACACGTAATATCAAGTCACTTACATTGATGGCCACACTACAATTTGATCTATAGAATTCGATCAGCACTGAAAGTGCTAGATGAAGTTTATACCGGTCACTACTTAATAACCAGTTAATCACTATTAACTGTTTTGTGTATACTTAGTCAAAGTTACCATCGTTTAGTAGCCTCTTGAAGTATTTATTGATTAAAGCAAACAATTTAGTTAAACTTTCTCGTTTCCTACTCAAATTAAAAATAAGTGTACAGTAGTAGTGGTTGTTGGCTTCCGACTGAGATCATGAACCGACCAATGTTAGAGCACTACAATGAACATTCACAATCCCGCATTCGAGATCTGAGCCCAGGACCTTCAGTCCTCTGAGCGAATGCTTACCTTGAAACCACTAAGGCAGGATCCCGCGGTGTTGATGTTTAATTTCGAATAAACCACGAGTCTTGCGTGCGAGACGGCCATCCAGTGCTTGTAAGTGCTCAATAGTGGTCCAACATCGGTCGGTTCATGATCTCAATTGGATTAAAAATTTAATGTAACACCCTAAATATTGAAACATTTTAAGAATGGACGATGGTATGTACAGGGTAACCTTTCATCCCAACAATATTCTGTTGTTCGACAGAGATTTTCACTGAAATTTGAATATATCTACTGTTAAAGTTGACTATGACATTTTAAAGACAGTTATGTATTAAATTTACACATATGATAGTTTCTAAAGTCATTTCATCACCAAAGAAAGTGCATTCAGAAACCATCATTTTAAACATGAGACCACTTAACGCTATTGTGTTGACAATATTCACTTCTCAGTATTAACTGAAGTTGAAATAATGTCAAGTTGCTTTCCGTATTATTTCAAATTGAGAATTTGTCTCATAAATTTGTATTTTCTGCAAAACTAAAATGTTATTTTTATATCACATTTTATACTTATTATTATATTGGTTTGATCAATCGCTCTGTAAAGCTTCGATATTTGATGTTGAACGCATTAGTTCTAATGGATCCACCTAGCTGAAGAAGCTTGCTCACGCATCCGCACCAGATTACGAATGAGTATGCTGTGCTTCACATCTCCTACAACCTCTAGCCAGCTGAGAATGATCACTTCGATATATTGATAACCTATCAAATATATATATCTTCAAACCTCTTCGCTTCTGATTTCACTAGGTTGGCATATTTCGATCATAAAAGATGTTACCGGTTAATGTATTGTCAAACATCGAACACTTATGACAATTTTTAATTTTATTGTTTAAAATGTTTACATACCAAACAAAATTTGCTATTATAAGCGGAAATGTTGTCGGCTAACAGTGGATTTCATTACTCGCACTTTGTCCTACTTTCATTCTGTTTGTGACTTCAAGCAGTCCATATCAGATTTATATATATATATCAATAGGATACTAATCAATTCAAGTTATAAACATCAATAGGAAGATTCAAATAACCAATACAATTTGCCATTGTTAGTAATATCCATCATATTTGCATATAAATTAGAAACAAAAATTCTTATTTTTCATGAGATAGCAAAATTATTAATGATAATCTGTAAAGATAAAAAAAGAATAGGAATTTTCAATCTGTAATAGATACAAAGAATATTTTTCTAACTACCACTACTATTACTGAATTGATCATCTCTTTTTTATCAATGGATGAAATGTATTTACACATTAGGAATAGTGTATATGTGATTAAATGAGAATGAAAGATTATCAAACATAATTTGAGTTTTGATAATCAGATATTTATGATGAAAGTTATTGGATCTGATTGCCTAGTATACTCAAGTAATATTGATTTATTGAAGAAAAAGGAAACCTTCATCTAATCATGATAGGAAATAATATAAACTTCAAGTTTGTTATTCGTCATATACAAGATTCTGGTAATGTTACTTAGAACTACTGATCAATTAGATTGCCATTACGCTTTACTGTAATATACATAGATACAACTTTATACTAGGAAAGGATGAAGATATACAGTAGATCATTAGATATGATTTGACTTTATCTATCATATGACAATCGTCAACCCGGTGCACCAAGATATAGTTGCATATTGTTCCTTTCTGGCTCTTTCAAAATAACGCTGAAAGATGTTTACTCATTCACTTGTTAAAGTTACCTGGTAGTACTCCAAATATAACTATCTCTGTAAGAACAACTGAATTACTAGATGTACACATGTTGATGTTGTATGTCTAGCTACATCAAAAGCAGTTGATGATGTTCATATTTACGGTTAGTATTTTGCTCACAAAATCTGTAATCCATTTATGTTATTAAAAACTATTTATAAAATAGAATAGATTAAAGGAGAGTATACATTTATAATTCGTTGTTGTGTAATACTTAATACTTAGTAATACTTAATACTCATCACTGTAATATTGTATTGAATGTTTTGTAGGAAAAAAAACTATTAGTTGAACCACGAAATCTTCTGTTCAACAACATAATATTGTCCTCTTATAACCTTTAACATAAAACGAATGTGATCTTCACCAAGTGACATCAAACGGAAACTAGTTGAATTCATTGATATCATCAAAGTTTGATTGAAGTTGGTGACTGGGTTCAAGATGTACTTGTGATTAATAGTTTTAATAATTATACCTGACATGAAACCTTCATATATGTGACGTCTGGATAAAAGTGGTCAACGGAACAAAAAATTACTTTCAATAAAGACAAAAAATGTAACATGGAGAAAACTTTTTAACAAATTTATTATCAAGTTGTAAAATCGTATTTACATATAAAATGTGAAAAATGAATGAAAATAATGACGTAACAGGAAAATTTTAATACTAGATCATGTAATGTAGGTGCATGGATAAGTGGCTTCCTGGATATGGGCAGATAAATAATTGGTTGTAAAATTCATAACCTATCACTGGAATAAGATAATACAAATATCATTGTTAAAATTATTCAAATGTACAATGAATGAAATGAAAATAAAATATATTAATAATAGGTTTAATCCTCATGAGGCGTAAAATTAAGCTATATTTTCTTTGTAATAAAAAATACAGGCTTTATTTCAATGAACAAGCGAAGCTTCTGTTAGTTTGACAGATTGAGAAAGAGTTCCTGGTTGGCGTTGACGGATCTTATAAACGTGTGGGTTGGCCTTGTAATTAAAGTCATTTGAATATTCGGGACTTAAACTTCTAACCACTTTCTTTTCACCCTTGTAGAAACAAGGTAGGATATGTTCTTGTATGTGTATTGAATAAGTATATATATTTTGCTCGATAGGAGTAAATATACGCAGTGGTAACCAAACAAGGAAGGGTATCTTTAAGGACAAGGAAATTTCAATGCACATAAAAATCGAAAAATTTAATTCTAAACAGTATTTCAATCATCAATTCTCTATAATTCTTCAGTTAAAAAATTCTACTTTAAATAACAAAATACACCCAAACGATTAACATAGTGAAAAATACCCCCCCCCAAAAAAAACGTGATCAAAATAGGCACGTTTGTTATGAAGCATGCAAATAAACATAAACTATAAATGATTGGTAAATAGTTGATTGACCCGATATAAAATACATGATGAAATACTCATTTAATTAGAATAATTTTCTATAAGTTATTTACTAGATAAACATGATGTTGTAATCAAATTTCAAGATAGTTCTTAGTTCATTAATTCTTAACCTAGTACATTTGATGTAGATTCATGATTTAATACATGAAAATTTACATCCCATTCATAAAACATTGATATGTACACACCAAAATCTGTAACAATTATGCTTACTATATACTAATATGGAGAAGCACGTCCAAAACTGACACCTGTTTATTGTTTTTTTATTATCATCAATTAGCATGATGCTATTTCCATACATTATTAAGTCTATCTAATCAGATTGATAGGTCCTGGGTTCGAATCTCGCACGGGGTGAGGTCGTGGATGCGCACTTCTGAGGAGTTTCATACTTGGACAAAACGGCCATACAATGCTTCCAGGTTTTCCATGGTTATCAAGCTTCAATTGACTCATGATTTCAACCATTGAAATTACTAAAATTTCCCCAAAAACCCCTTCAGATGAACAATATTGAAATCTTTATAACATTTGATCATTGTTTTTTCTGTTTATCGGCTAATATGAAGAACTTCACAGTAAATAAACACTCATTCGGGGAAAATCAGTTTATTATACAATGAAAAATACAGAGTGCTATGGTAAAATATGAGAACCTTACATTAAATACTTCATGTGCAAATCATCCATCAATTGTCTATCGACATAAGTAGTAGTATGTAACGTCAATCAGAATTGAAATACCTGTCAATAGAAAGCTAAGAAGATTGAGTTAAGGAAAACAGAAATGGAAGTAGAAAAGGATTGTAAATGAAGTATTTACTATACGATTGTTATATTTTATGAAGACATTCTGTGGTTTTGTATTAAACAATAAACTGGTTGCCACCACCTAAGTTCTCGTTCACTACAACATTGTTCATGTTTGCCTCATTTAAATTGT